GTTTTGCTTTGCCGTTTCACTTGGCCCTGTGCTAAGCTTTCTCCTCGTTGCTGTGTGCCGTGGTGCCACACCTGGTCCTCACCTTCAGCATGATCCTGTGTGGCAGCCTCTACCTGAGCTTACAGGTCCACGCCCCAGTGGTGATCACTGAGGTTGCCTCCAATTCCCTGCCGTCATAAAAACCCCCACGGAAACAAACATCTTCACATATGACCTCTTATGGCTGTGTTCGGAAATTCTGGGGACATTGAACCAGGAGCAGAATTGCTGTTTCCCGGACCATGTGTGTAGTCGCTGTGACTAGGTCACTCCCTCAGTGGCTGCTCCAGCCACGCCCACACCAGTGCTCCTATACCCCGCATCTGCACCAATGCTCAGCATTACTCTGCCCCTGACTTTTGCCAACCCTAAGGTAAAAAGTGATAACTCACTGCGGCTTCAGCTTGTATTTCTTGAATTCCAGATGAGTTTGTGCATCTCTTCATTTTCTTGTGAGCCTCTAGGGTTGCCCCTTTCATAAGCCACCTGTCCATTGCCTACTGTTACACTGGGATTCTTCGGGGTCTTTTCCTGAAGATTTGCAGGAGTGTCATATCTCCTAGAGAAGCCTCTTCACAAACAGTGCACTCTGCTGCCGTAGCAGCCTGTCTAGGGTGAGGGCACCCATGTGGTCGCCAGCTCTTCAAACCCTCATCCTGGGGGTCAGGACTTTGTCATGGGCATATGTACAATCAAGGTAAAGGGAACCCCTTCCCCATTTCCTTCTATCAGCCTTGCCCAAGGATTGCAATCCAGGTAACAAGGAAAAAAACTACCTCTTCTCTGGGACTGCTAACCTGCTGTGTCAATTTCATGAGCTAATAAATGATTGGAGAAGGCTTAATTGCATCAGAGAAATTGAGATCAGTCGGTGCTTAGGTCCCACTCAATTAACTTGTGCTCCTAAGGGGGTCGAGCAAGGAGCAGGGGGCAGTCGATGGTTAATTACATGTGCTGGTGCCAGCCGCAGCTGGCGTTTCCTGCCTGCATTCATCCAGTGAGGCGAGGCGACCCTGCTTCAGTGAGGCTGAAGTCAGTGAGAACAGGGGGCCTTTCAGATAGAGCAGAGACCCCTGGCCTCATGGGGAAGTGAGAGATCCATTTCCCGGCACGTTCTATCCCGGTGGATTTTAGTGTCCAACTCCAGCCTCTACTAGACAAATGGCCTTTCAGGCCCCTCATTCTAACAGCTTTACTGGCTCCATCCCACCCAGGCTCACCACGTGGCTTTGGCTCTTCTTAGACTTCCCCCTCCTCCTGCCCCCTGGCCTGCTTGCCTCCAGGCACAGAACCCAGAGCCACTCTTGTCATGGGCACCAGATGAGGCCACAGCCTCTGCAAGATCACTCCCCTCCCCTGTTGCCTCCAGACGGAAATCCTCCCAAAGAAGTTTCTTCTTGCATCATTTTCCAGAAAGCCAGATGGTAAGACTCAAACCTGCTAAGAATACAGATTCCTGGGCCCCACCCTGTGGATGCTGCTTTAGTAACTCTGGAAGTCTCCATTTTTTAATACGTGGCTTAGGAAATTGTTACCTTCAAGCCAGTCTGAGAAACCCTGCTTCAGCGGACATCCCACTCCTGATGAAGTAAGTACAGATCTTCTGGAAGGAGAGACAACATCACGTGGAGGGCCCTGGCCTGGGACCTCTACAGTGCCACCTCCACATTGCTTGCGTGTTCTACAAGTCACTTGTCTTGTCTGAACTTGGTTTCATCACCTGGAAAATAAAAATACTGTAAATCATTCTATTGCAAAGACACATGCACAAGTGTTCACTGCAGCAATATTCACCTTAGCAAAGACAAGGAATCAACCTACATGCCCATCAGTGACAGACTGGATAAAGAAAATGAGGTACATAGACACCATGGAATACGATGCAGCCATAAACAAGAACAAGATTATGTCTTTTGCGGAAACATGGATGGAACTGGAGGCCATTATTCTTAGCAAACTAACACAGGAACAGAAGGCCAAAGACCACATGTTCTCACTTACAAGTGGGAGCTAAATGATGAGAACTCATCAACACAAAGAGGGAACAATACATACTGGGGCCTACTTGAGGGTGGAGGGTGAGAGGAGGAAGGGGCAGAAAAAAAACTATTGGATACTAGGCTTAATACCTGGGTGAGGAATAATCTGGACAGCAAACCCTGTGACACGAGTTTACCTATGTGACAAACCGTACTTTTACCCCCAAACCTAAAATAAAAGTTTTTTAAAAAGATACTGCAGCCCTCACATTTCCATGGATCATTTTTTTCTATAAGTAACGGATATGTTAAGCACGTCGCATGATTTATGCTCACAAAGCAACTTTAATTTTTTTTCTTCAAATGTCCCATTATTTTAAAATGTGTTCAGTGGGAGAAATCTTCCCCTGTCCCTAGAAAAAAACTTGTGCCGATCCCATTGCTTTGTCATCCAGTCTTTGGTGACAGCCTTATAGTTACTGTAAGTTATAGATACAGTCCACTCAGGCATTAGAATGCTTAATAGGCTGGCCGAGGTGGGTGGATCACCTGAGGTCAGGAGTTCAAGACCAGCCTGGCCAACATGGCGAAACCCTGTTTCTACCAAAAATGTAAGAACTAGCTGGGGGTGCCTATACTCCCAGCTACTTGGGAGGCTGAGGAAGAAGAGTTGCTTGAACCCGGTGGGCTGAGGTTGCAGTGAGCTGAGATTGAGCCACTCTACTCCAGCCTGGACAACAGAGCAAAGCCCCGTCTCAAAATATATATATATATATAAAATAATCGTAACAATCATGAGTAGTGAAACACTCTGGCCTCCATTCAGACTGCATTATTTTTCTCCTTTCTTCCAGTTTCGTTCCGCTCAAGCTGGAAGCACCTGAGGTGGGACCCCCACATCCCTCCCCTTTCTCTCTTCCCACCACACCCGGGAGCCGCTGTTTTACCACTTGCCTGGATTGAAATTAGGGGTTCCTACTGGTTAGAGAGCTTGGAGAAACTGAAAACTGGCTCCGGCTTTTGGGATTGTTTTTAGGGGCTCTCCTGGGTTCCCTGCTGGGCTGGGCCCCTCTCTCCTGCAGTTCCGCTCACCCACACGAGCACTGCAGCTCTGATCCGGGAGTCTCCTGCAACCCCTTGCCCAGCCTCTGGGCATGTGGAGGCCACCTGCAGCCTCTTCAGTTGAGGCCTTCTCACTGTTGACACTTAGACAATATTGACTCAAGACAGGCAGCCCCAGAGCCCTCCTCCCCTGGGATACATAGCTCAGCAACACCTCTCACCATGGAAATCTCACCAAACCTTCACCAAGTTATTGTCCTATCCGTATTGTGTAAAGTGGGTGAAAGCATCCACGGATCCCGAGACAGATATTCTTGCATTCCCGTTGTACAGTCTGTACAGCCAGGGAACGAGGGCCCTGTCCCAGACTCACTTCCGCCATCTGATTTCTATCCTCTGCCATGTCAGAAGTCGTGCAGGAAGCGCCCCGCCGTAATACCCAGTCACATGAAGCTCAACGCCACGGTTTGATGTGAGTGAGAACATCTTGGAGAAAAGAAAGCCTCAGGTGCCCAGAATGTCCAAGCAGGAGCTGGGAGAGTGTAGTAAGGCCCAGATCTAGAAGGGAGGCGATGCGGGGACAGGGCTATTCTGTCACGTGGTCACTCTGCCTCCTTCTCAGCTTTCCCCGAGGCTCTGCCCCTGAGAGCTGCTAGACTCAGACAGCATCATGCTAAGGTCCGTCCTTTGATCTCCAGCTTCTGGCCGAGGGTAAGAACCTGGAGGCGGTTAGCCCTGTCCTCTTGGAAGGTGGCTCTGCGGCTGAGGTTAATGGCTGGATTTCCTCCCTGATGAAAACATCCACCACCCAGAGAGGCCTCTCCTCCTCAGGACCACTCAGCAGGGCTGAGTATCACCCCCACAGGGCATTCCTCTCCCTCTTCTCTCAGTGTAGGGTCCAAACTCTTCCAAAGAATGTTGAGTCGTTATTTAAAGATCAGCACTGTCCTGGCTAGGTGCAGTGGCTTGTGTCCATAATCCCAGCACTTTGGGAGGCCAAGGCAGGTGGATCACCTGAGGTCAAGCGTTTGAGACCAGCCTGACCAACATGGCCAAACCCCATCTCTCGTAAAAACACAAAATAGTCAGGCGTGGTAGCAAGCACCTGTAATCCCAGCTACCTGAGAGCCTGAGGCAGGAGAATTGCTTGAACCCAGGAGGCCGAGGTTGCAGTGAGCTGAGATCGGCCTGGGCAACAGAGCAAGACTCTGTCTCAAAAAAAAAAAAAAAAAGATCAGCACTGTCCTGGGTTAGATTGATTGGTTAAATGAATAAATAAAAGAATGTAAAGAGACCCCCAAATGTTAGCCTACCGTAGATTCCTGGATGACTTGGGAGGACCCTGCCGCCCCTCCTCCATCAGCACAGCAGCCTGAACTTGCTCATCTGGCTGTCCAGTCGCCGTCTTTGGCCTGACAGATGTCGTTGGAAGTCAGGATATTGGAGCAGGGGAGGGGAGCGTGTGGCGCAGGCACTGGGGAAGACTGGCCCGGGGAACGGTGGGGAGGGGCTGGGGAAGAGGGAGGCTGACAGCAGGCTCAGTCGTCCAGCAACAGGGATGTATCCACTAGGGCATAGATCCGAGTCCTCCAGTGGAGTGGGAGAAAGCCTGCCCGGCACCCTGCCCACTCAGCTCACCTCCCAGACACGTGCCCAGCATCCCGCTGCTGCCCTGGGCATGGGGTTTCAGCAGCAGCACAGAGGGAAGGAGACAAAGCTGGGGTCGCTGCCACCTCACAGGTCTGTGCTCAGGTTCTTAGGAACCCAAGGAGTTTGGGAGGTTGACCTCGAGGAGCAAAGCCATGGGGAGACTTCCACCCTAGGGCTGTGGGGCTGCAGCTGCCCCGCCTGCTGGTATGTCTGTCTGTCCTCAGCCTCCCTGTCCAGCTCACACAGGTCTTCCCCTCTCTTCTCTGGCAGGGACTGATGCCCTTGGCCATGAGGCACTCCCAACTGCAGTCTGCTCAGGCGCAGCCCGTGTGACTGAGCCACCACTGCGCCAGCTGTTTCACGTAAGTGTAAGGCACAGGCCACTCCCTTTTCCCCCGGGAGAGGGAGTCTGGGCCACCAGTGGGGAAGGAGTTTCAGAAAGTCCTGGTCACAGAGGGAAGGCCCTCAGGATTCTTTAGAGGACAGCAGGCTTGTCCCCTTTGGCTACCCACATTCTCTGATTTGGCCACCACTGAATCATTCTGCCCCAGACCTGCTGAGACCGGGGTGGGAACACAGGGGCCTCTTTCCTCTGTCCTCAGGACACCTCCGGAGGCGGTGTGATGGAAACGCCACAGCACTGGGCCGTGGGTCCTGACTCAGACACTTGCTATCCTGTGACTTTAGGCAAATGACTTGACAGGCTGGCTGCCCCTCCAGAACTGCTGGGGCTTCTGTTAGATTCAATGTGTAGTCATTATCTTTTGCTGCATCACAAACTACCAGAAACTCAATAGCTTAGAACAACACACAACGATTCTGTGTTTCTGTGGCTCAGGAGTCTAGATGTGGCTGATTGGCTCACAGCCTCAGGATCTCAGCTGAGTTATAAATTCATCTCCAAGGTCAAGTGCAGAAGGATCCACTTCCACTCTCATCTATGTGATTGTTCAGTTCCTTTTGGGAGGCTGGGTTGAGGGCCTCAGTCCCTAGCCAGGAATTGGCCAGAGGCGACCCTAGGTTTCTGGACACATGGGCCTCCGCAGGGGGGCAGCTTTCAATATCAAAGCCATCAGAGAGAATGGCTGGCAAGAGAAAAGTCCGAATCTTATATAACCTATTCACAGAAGTGACATCCCATTACCCATGCTGTTTCCTATTGGTTAGAAGCAAGTCCCAGGCCACACCCACTCTCGGGGAGGGGAGTACATAAGGGCGTGACTGCCAGGAGGCAGGGACCACTTGGGCCATCTCAGAGCCCGCTCGCCATTAGGGCTCCATAAGCGTTAATGGAGCAGTTTGCAAACTGTAGGCTGCTGTCCGGGTGTAAGAAGTTACTGTCAGCATTTGCAGCTTGTTGCAAAGAGGTGACGAACCCTCCAGAAATAATAGTTACTGAATGTAGGAATTTAAATGCCAAACTGTACCATTAGTACAGAAATTAGCCGGGCATGCTAGCTCGTGCCTATGTTCCCCAGCTACTTGGGAGGCTGAGGTGGGAGAATTGCTTGAGCCCCGGAGGTTAAGGCTGCAGTGAGCCAAGGTCACAGCACTGCACTCCAGCCTGGGTGACAGAGCAAGACCCTGTCTCAAAAAAACTTTTATCTGCCGTTAGTACACAGGTTGAGAGCTGATTCATTCATCTCACGCCCTTCACATGTCCCTTCCTGGCTTATGATTTTAAGGCCATATCTAAACAGCCACAGCATGCCTAGGCCTTCCTTTTCCCACAAACAGCCATGTTTGTGGGGTCTTTTCTAGCTTACGAAGAGCTCTCACACCCATCCCCCTCGTTCCTCCCAGTCACACTTGAGAACTCACAGGAGGAGATGATCCTTGGTTGTGATTCGTCACGATCCTACGGTGAGGGAGGCGTGACAGGAATGAGAGCCGAGTGTTCTGTTCATCTTTGCTTTACAAGTGAGAAAGGAGGTCATTTTCCAATATGGGGTAGCTGCTCAGTGACATAAGTGCTCCTTGAACCTGGGCCTTGAGAACTCCGGCTCTGCCCACACTGCTGTGCCCCCGACGTCCTGGCCATTGCTGTGTGCAGCCTGTGTGGTTCTGAAAGAGGGGAGCCCAGCACGGGGCAGGGAGGGGGAGGGCACGGCTCTTATACGGCTTCTCCATAATTCCCTGTCTCCTAAAACAGGCTGGGCACATCCTGGAACACTAGTCCAAGCCTCTCTGTAGAGGGGAGCACTGCTGCCTCCCCAGCTTCAGGTCACGCCTGCACCTCTCTGTCCAGAAGCGGTGAGGGTATGAAGTGGTGCTGTAGTGAAAGCGTCTAAGCCCTCCCCAGGCTGAGATTCATCTTCCCCCTACCTTCCAGATGCCCCCCAAAAATGCCTGAAGCATGGCCCACCATGCACCTGGGCAAAGTGAAAGTGATCTGAACAGCCAGGCTCAAGTCTGCAGATGGGATTGAGCTGAGAGGTGCAGCTTGCTGCCCCCTGGTGGTCTGTTAGAGTCATAACTGCCAGGGCTGTGACAAGCTAAACAGTGAGCTTTTAAGTACCTGCCATGCGCCAGGCATGATGTATAATGCTGCAGGGGATAGGAGCCCGTGTAAGACATAACCCCTGATCTCAGAGGGCTTACAGTGGAGAAGTCAAGATGTTCCCACATGGAAAGTTGACTCTCATCCCACCAAGCAAGATTTGAAGAGCAAACTGTGAAGGGCATTGCAGTAGGAGTCCAGAAATGAGGGCGCGTCAGGGCTGGGGCAGTCAGGGGAGGCTTCTCAGAACCTTGAAGGATTGGCAGGATTTAAACAGATGGAAGAAGGAAGACCACACACTGCCCTGTTGAAAGCCCCTGGGGGACCCCCACGGCCTCCAAGAGAGGTAATCTGGACTCATTGCCTGGCTTGTAACCTCTCCATGCCCTGGCCTGTCCCAGCCTGGCCAGAGCCCTCGCAGTTCCTGGGACTGCTCAGTCCGCCCACCCCACCTTTTCTACCTGATAAGCTTTCATTCAGCTTTTAGGATTTAGCTCAATACAACATGCAGTGGAGCACCTCCCCCAGTCATTAGCTGCCCCACTCTGTTCCGCAGCTCTGGTCTGTGCCTCTGTGGCTGCAAGTCTCACACCATATCCTAAGGTATGCCTGTGTCTTTTCATCACTGGGCAATAAGCTGCTTAAGATCTGTGGGACTGTGGCTCACACTTGTAATCCCAGTACTTTGAGAGGCCGAGGAAGGTGGATCACCCACCTCAGCAGGTGGTCAGGAGTTCAAGACCAGCCTGGGCAACATATGAAGCCCCATCTTTACTAAAAATACAAAAATTAACCCGGTGTGGTGGCGCACGTGTGTAGTCCCAGCTACTGGGAGGCTGAGGCATGAGAATCACTTGAACCCAGAAGGTGGAGATTGCAGTGAGCTGAGACTGCGCCACTGCACTCCAAACTGGGGGACAGAGTGAGACTCCATCTCCAAAAAGAAAGAACAGTGGGCTGCATGATGGGCAGTGGATCATGTAAGCGGAAGAAAGGGAGGTGAGGGGGGAAAGATAAATAGGGCGAGCGTGCAGGAAAGTGGGGGATGGCGATGCCTTTGAACCTGTCTCTAAAAGTTTATGGGCAGATGAATGTATCCTGCAGGCAATGTGGTGCATGAGAGTCACAGAGGGACCCAGGAGTATGAAGAAAGGCTTAACAGCTGGTGGCAGGAAGGGGACTCAGAGACACAACTGGGAAGGTTAGTTAGGAAAGCATTGCACCAGTGCAGCTTGAGAGGTGATGAGTCTTCACTGGTGTGGGGAACAGAAGACTGGTGTAGCCAAGGAAGAATTAGAGGAGTTTAAATTCTGGGCAGCTGGGGGAATGTCCCGTGGTCCTGTCAAACTCTAATGTGCAACTTACTCAACTGAGACCTTGTTAAAATGCAAACTCTGACTCATTAGGCCTGTGGGGGGCTGAGATGCCATCTTTCTAATGGTCCTGCCAGGCGATGCCACACTGCTAGTCCGCAGAGCAGGAGCGGATTGGGGGCCACGCTACCGGGTGGGTGCAGCTCTCTAGGAGCAGTGGTGGGCAGGTGGTATCTGTGGGTGAAGAGATAAAGGTACCCCTTTTACCCAGTGAACACGTCAGGGTGCACAGCTTTGTGAGCAGAGTGCAGTTGGGTTCCGGCCCCACTTGCCCTTTGAGTAATAAACAACTTGCAAAATCCCTCGGGGCAGCTCTAGTGGAATCACCAACAGAGGCAGAGAGGTCGGAGGTGGGAGTCCATTTGGAGAGCAGAGTGGTGACTTTAACCTGTCATAATTGAGTGCAAGATGGCCACTGGGACATCCACTGAAATGTCTGTCTACTAGCAGTTGGAGACCCGGCTGGAGACCTGGACTGGGGATCTGCGGGCTCACTGATGATATGCCACACAGTGAAGAAAGCGAAATGAGGGCTGGCTGGGACTCATTTAACCCTTCTGGCCTTTTTCAGCGGTGACTCTCTCATTCCAACATCTCTGTCCTTTCTGTTGTCTTGCAGGTCACCGTTCCCTTTACTGAACGTAAGTGATCATAGTCATTCTTCCCTCTTCAAGATACCAAGTCCCCAGTCCCCACCCTTCTGTCCCATTGGTCCCAATGCACCTGAGAGGCTCAGAAATCCCCATTCACTGACCTAAAAGGAGAATCTGCCTGAAGCCAGGACAGCCTCACACCCAGAGCTTGCCTCCCCATCTGGCCACAGCCTTCCAGGGCCCAGGATGCCATACACTGCTCCCTCTGGGCTCGCCTTGCCCTTGCTTTCCAGGAGGGTTTGAAGGAGAAGACAGATACCGCTAAAAGAAGTGCAGGTTTGGGGCCAGGTGTGGTGGCTCATGCCTATAATCCCAGCACTTGGGGAGGCTGAGGCGGGTGGATCACGAGGTCAGGCTTTTGAGACCAGCCTGGCCAAATAGTGAAATCCTGTCTCTACTAAAAATACAAAAAATTAGCCAGGTGTGGTGACGTGGCGCTTGTAATCCCAGCTACTCGGGAGGCTGAGGCAGGAGAATCGTGTGAACCCGGGAGGTGAAGGTTGCAGTGAGCCGAGATCACACCACTGCACTCCACCCTGGGCGACAGAGGGAGACTATCTCAAAAAAAAAAAAAAAAAAAAAAAAAGTGCAGATTTGAGTCAGAGAAGAGCTTTTGAGATTTGTCCCTGTCCCCACCAGCCAGGGCCAAGGACTTAGGGACCAGCTGGGTGTGTGCCAGGAGGGCGGGGATCAAGAGCACAGCCTTTGGGATGAACGGGCTGGATGGATTCGCAGCCAAAGCATTCTCAGCCGGTTCAGCATGCCTGCAGCAGGGATAACTAGTAACTGCCTCAAGGGTTATGGCGAGGATGCGAGGATGCGGTGAAACGCGCGGCGGGGGGGCACTTAGCGCGATGCCCCGCACGGAGGAGCCCGGCCATCAGCAGCAGCTGTTACTCTGCATCCAGAACGCGGGGAGAGGGCTAAGAAGGGTGCGAGGGGAGAGGAAAGGCGAGAAGAGCACCAAAGGGGAAAGACAGAACTTTTGGAAACCAGACAGAAGCAAGGAGCGGTATTAGCACTCAGCTTTCTCTCTTCCCTCCCGCAGCTGTTATCTGCCCCCTACCAAACACCCCGCTTAGGCTGGCCCAGTCCGGGGCCACTGCCCGTCCTCAGCCTTCAGGGAGCCCCTGGGGCCCAGCGCTTCCTGCTCCTGCTGCTCTCAGAGCTTCTGCCCAGCCAAAGGGCACTTCCAGGAAGACTCCCTCTGGCCCAGCCCAGGGCCGCAGCCACAGCTGGTCTTCAGCCCGCCGCACATCTTTGCAGAGTTTGATGGGGCGCCGGGCGGATGACAGCGGGAACGGTTGTGATCACCGGCGGAATCCTAGCTACGGTGATCCTCCTCTGCATCATTGCCGTGCTGTGCTACTGCAGGCTCCAGGTCAGTCCTCAGGACCCATAGCCCAGAGGCTGCAAGGCCACCAGCAAACCTCTTTTTCTTTATGGGGGCAGAAACTGGAGGCCAACTTCAGGGCCCACAGAGCCCAAAGCCATGGAATGTGGCAGGCTAAGTCACAGAGGCTGGGAGTGGGCTGGTCAGAAGGGAGCTATGCATCCCCCCAGCCTGCACCCTCAGGGCACACAGTGTGCTGGGAAGATTCGGGGTCACTGGGTTGTGTCTCCTGCACCTCTGAGATTTCAGGGGGGTGGGAAGAGCACCATGCTGGGGAGGCTCTGAAAGCTGCAGCCAGCAGCCCCAGCCCTGCCCTCATAGTGATGTGTGTGTCCCTGCCCCGCTCACCCACAGCCTGGAGTTAGTGGGAGGGGAAAGGGAAAGAACACTGGCCTTGCGAAGCTGGGAATAGAAGCTTGTGGAGCAGGCCCCTGGGGTTCAGTGCCTGGTCTAGGTTCTCCATGGAGCAGGAGCAGGGGCACCTGTGCACTCTCAAAAACACGTTGGGGCCGGGGAAGCATTCACCCTCTCAGGCATCCCTCTGCCCTTCCCCGCAGTATTACTGCTGCAAGAAGAGTGGAACCGAGGATGCCGACCAGGAGGAGGAGCAGGAGCACGACCTTCCCACGCACCCCAGAGGCCCCAGCTGCAATGCCTGCAGCTCCCAAGCCCTGGACGGCAGAGGCAGCCTGGCGCCTCTCACCGGGGAGCCCTGCAGCCAGCCCTGTGCGGTGGCAGCGAGCCACTGCACCACCTGCTCCCCATACAGCTCGCCCTTTTACATACGGACGGCTGACATGGTGCCCAACGGGGGTGGAGGCGAGAGGCTCTCCTTTGCTCCCACATACTACAAAGAGGGGGGACCCCTATCCCTCAAACTGGCAGCACCCCAGAGTTACCCGGTGACCTGGCCAGGCTCTGGGCGTGAGGCCTTCACCAATCCAAGGGCTATTAGTACAGACGTGTAAACCCTTCCACCCCAACCCGCACACACGCCCACACTGCTGCCCTGGCGGGAGCCGTGTACACACTAGCTGACCCTCCAACAGCCCCGCACGGGCTCTCTGTTTCTTTGGCTTTTCTTTTTTTTTTTTTTTTTTTGAGACGGAGTTTCACCCTTGTTACCCAGGCTGGAGTGCAATGGCGCGATCTCGGCTCACCGCAACCTCCGCCTCCTGGGTTCAGGCAATTCTCCTGCCTCAGCCTCCTGAGTAGCTGGGATTACAGGCACGCGCCACCATGCCCAGCTAATTTTTTGTATTTTTAGTAGAGACGGGGTTTCACCATGTTGACCAGGATGGTCTCGATCTCTTGACCTCTTGACCCACCCGCCTCGGCCAAAGTGCTGGGATTACAGGCGTGAGCCACCGCGCCCGGCCTTCTTTGGCTTTTCTTACTCCACAGTGGAGGGTTTACTAGGATTTAAGCTTTTGAGTGCATTGAGAACCAGGACAGGGCCTGGCTCCAACTCCGTGGCCCAGACGTGGGGTCTGCTAGGTTAAGTCTGCAGCTTCGCCAGGTTCTCGGTTGGGACACTCCTCCGGCAGCCCCAGCAGCACCACAACCCTTGCAGCGTGCCCAGCTCCTGGCTTTGCTGGACTGCACAAAGGAGCACAGCAGAAAGCTCAGCAAAGCCTCTGGAGGCTTCCAGGGTCCTTGGGAGATGAAGCATCCGTGCCTACGAGAAGGAGACAGAGGGCAGGGGGAGAAGGGAGAGCTGCGATTCCAGCACTGGAGAAGCGAGGGGAGGGGCGCGAACAGGGCTGGTATCCAAGAGCTAGTTCACAACCCACTTTTGTACGTTGGTTACCATAGCTACTGCTGTCACTGTCGCTGCTCCCGTAGGGACGTTGATTCCTGAGCGTATCACATGTCGCCTGCCCCCTTCCTCGTGGAATACGTCGAGTTTACTTTAAAGCCTAAGGTGACTTATGGGGACGGCACCAGAAAGTGACTCTAACCTTGTGTTCCCCGAAATCCTTTCTCTGCCTTAGGAACCAGCGCCCCCTGCTGGAGAAGCTTTTTCGTTTTGTTCCCAGAGGTCTAGTATTAGCGAAGAGACCCCTGACTGTCTCTCGGCCCAGCCCACCACCCCGAGCAGCTCGCGTGGATGCAGTCCCGTTCCCGGGTGTACACACACACACCAGTCACCAGGGGTAGGCAATAGGGGCTTTGTACCTTCAGGAGCTGCAGAGTGGAAAGGTCTCCCATGTACCATCCAGAGAGGAAAGTCTGATCCCCAAATAACTTGAATGAAAGGCGGTTAACGTGGCCGATCCCCATGGCAGCCACCGGGCTGGTGAACAGGAAGAGCTCAGACTCTCCGTGGGGTGAAGCTGCAGCGGCTGAAACCACGTCAGCGCCCCCATGGCCCGGCATTCTCCTCGGGCATCCACCCGTGACGCCGTTGAGCGGGACCTTCATCCCAGAGCAACAGCACCGTCCTGAGGATGGGAGGGACGTGACATAGCCGTGGGATTCCACGCTCGTCGCCCCCACGTGGCCGCCCTACTCCCCAGTCTCTGGCGATGAGCCGTTCATTGTGGCTCACGCCAGCCTCATTTCCAACTCTGACTTCCCACTTAGAACGTGGCAGTGGCCTTATGCTTGGTGAGTGAGCATGCCTGATGAGTTTTCCAGTGGCCCTGCAGAAGCTCGCCCCCTTCCCACTCCTGAGTCACTGAATTCGCAGAGGATGGGGCAGGGAAGGGGCGGGGCCCCCCGCTGAAATCTTGATTCTGCATTTGACAAAGGCAGGGTGCCTCTGAGGGAGCAGGGAGCAGGGAGGTAAGAGGGGAACGCACGTCCTTTGCACCACAATTAAGGCACCTTTCACCTTACATCTCGATCAGGAATCAAAGCGCCCTCAGTTGAGAAAAAGACTGGGCTCTGGTCTCATTTTGGTCACTCATTAGCTCTAGGACCAGTCACTGATCCCTGAGACTCCATTTTCTCTGGGGAAACGTGGTTTGCCCAGATAAACTAATTACCATTTAGTGCTCTAGGAAGTGAGAATTTCCAAAAAAGATCTGCCACTCCCTCTTGCCCTAATCCTGGCAGGGTCTGGAGGTATTGACCCAGCCTTCTGACCTTGTGTGCAGGGATGCTTGCTGATGGATGAAAGACCACAATAAAACAAGATTAGCAGCAAACCAATTTTAGTTGTCAGTGAAAAGCAAACATGTTTGTCAGACCCTCCTATGGAGTCACCTTTAATGGTAACTCTTCTCTTGTACCGGGAAGCAGCTGTAGGTAGGGTAATGGCATCAGTCTCCTGGCACAGAGGGACAGCTTAGGGCAGCAGCTTCATCACACTCGTCCCACCGCCAGCCCTCACTGCGCCACGTGCAAGCCCCTAACGATCTGCTGGGCCCGGCAGTGTTCCCCACTTCCTAGTGCCTTGCTCCCCTGGAATTCCACAGCTAATCAACCACAGCAGCCACATCCTCCTCGCCAGAAATAACATCATTCATACATCCTGCCTTTGTAAAAATCAAGACCCGATTCACCATCACCCGCTTCTTGCCCCTGATCAGTGGGGTCCCTGAGTGCAAGCATCCTGTGCAATCCCCTCCCTCCTATCGCTTTCCTAGTGAAATCCTGCCACCCCACAAATCAGAATCTGGGTTAGCAGCATTGGAGAGATGGTGGGCCCCAGCTCTTCCCCACATAGCCACGCTGCTCAGGGCACTGGCTCCAACCAGGCTCAAGATTGCCTGCCTGCCCGCTGCAGCTGCAGGGGCCCATGCTGTGGAAAAGGAAGCTTCCCTCGCTCAACCGCACTGTCCTTTTCTGCTGTCTAGTCTGTGCTAAGGGACACTCTTTGTAGTCTTTTCAAACGGCACCCTAAACTGGAAGAGAAGGAGGGGCCAGGAACGCAGCTCTCCCCGCCGTCTTCCTCTGCCTCCACTTCACCACTCCTGCTACAGACTTCTTGTCTTGAATCTTTGATAACTTGGAGTCACAACCAGTGAATGTCGAATAAATAAGAAATTTGAAATAGAAATCCCACAGGGTCCTTCGTTCTTCACTGGGGGAAGAGAAGGGGGCCGTCAGTGTGGATTTAAGGGTGAAGGCTCCTGTTCAACACCCACAGCATCTGTGTCCAGCGCTCTCCCTGCTCACACGGTAGCAAACTCCACCTTCTTGCCTGGCATCGCCCCCATTGCCTCCATCAGGGTTCAGTCAGGGGAGACGTGTTGTTTGTTGGGAAAGTGGCTGAGGCAGACCTGCTAGGATAGTGAGTTTCCCTGAGGGGCGACCCAGGCTTCAGCCCCTGCTCCCACCCTTCCCCTCTTCCCAACCCCACATACCCCTTCTAGGCCGGTGGTCTTCCCACCTGTGTGGCCCTGGGTAAACTCACCTCTCTGAAGCTGAGGAGATCATGCCACACGGCCAGCCCTTTGCTCTGGGGCCAGCAAGGGAAGAGAAGGGAATTGGGACCAGATCCCCAGAACAGCCCAGCAGAGACTTCAGAGGCAGAGAGGGATGTGGGGGACTGAAGAACCAGGAACTGGCTTTGTGTCAGGGAGAATTCAGGGATGAAGTGAGAGCGCGGGGTGTGTGTGTGTGTGTGTGTGTGTGTACACTTGTGTGCACATGGGTGTGTACAAGTGAGCTGCTCTCTCCACCTCAGGGCCTCAGGGTGAGCCCTGACTGCAGCTTGGGGGTGCAGCAGGCAGCCTGCCCCAGCAGTCCAGCCCCCAGGCCCCCAGCCCTGCAGCAGCCCTCCGTAGCACCAGTGGGAGCACAGCTTCCTTCACCCTCGGCCCAGGGAGCAGCTGGCCACAGCTCTGTCACCGTGGCTGTCCTATGGGAACCGAAACCAGACCCTAGGGCACACTCATCGCCGCACCCAGCCCCACCTCCCGCCATCTCCGTTGCCGCAGGGCAGCCAGCCCCCACCCGGCCCCCAGCCTCTCGCCCGCCCGGCACATCTGCTCGGCGTCATGCTTGCTGGCAGGTCACAGCCCTGACCCAGCTCTTCTCCTGGGTGGCCCTGGACCGCCATCAGTCTCAGCTGCAGCCGTGAGGAGGGTGGAGGAGCAGCTTGAGTCAGACCGAGGAGCGCAGGGGAGGTCCTGGCCGTGCTTGTCATTGCCCTTTGGGAAATGCCTCCATCAGTGCCTGAGGTTCAAGGGGGGTGGGCTGTTTTCCTTCTGAGTTCTGAGCAAATCGAGCTGGGGACTCCAGGTTATGCTGTGCCATCTCAGCAGTCTCAGCCTTGGGTACCTTGGTGATCTTCCCCTGGAAATAACCAGGGCTCCTGAACAGCACTAGTAAACTTGAGTGTAGAAAACCGGGTGAGAAGTTTTCATCCTCTGTGCTGGTCAGCCCAAAAATCGGGGAGGCCGAGGCCGTTGTCAAAGTGGCACATCACCCTCATACCCGGAGGCTTTCCAACCAATAGCTCTGTCTCCCCAGATTCCAGCAGCCCCATGATGGCATCATCCAGCCAACTTCCCCAAAACCTGTCCCTGTCACTCTGCTCCTGGGGCTTCTGCGGGGACTTCAAGGAGAAGCTTCTTTCATCGTAAAAACGTCTCATCCAGTTTTCTACGCTCAAGTTTACAAGTGCTGTTTATTGGCCACTGATTCCCTGGGGGGCGACCCAGGCTTCAGCCCCTGCTCCCGCCCTTCCCCTCTTCCCAACCCCGCACATGCCTTCCAGGCTGATGGTCTTCCCGCCTGTGTGGCTCTGGATAAAATCACCTCTCTGAAGCCTGAGGAGATCATGTCACATGGCAGCCCTTTGTTACAGGGGCAGCAAGGGAAGGGAAGGGAATTGGGACCTTCTGCCCAGCAGAGACTTCAGAAGCGGGCCCCCGGTTATTTCCAGAAGATCGCGGAACCACCTAAGGCTGTGAGCCCCAGAATCACGCAGCATTCCGCAGAGTGATTCTCGTGCCTCAGCCTCCCAAGCAGCTGGGACTACAGGCCCAGTAAGAAACATCCTTGTCTCTTGGTTCTCCACCCGGTGAGCGGATGGTGATGAAGGAAGGGTGGCCGTTGGGAAGGGAACTGGTGAAGAGAGGGGCCAGCAGGGGAGGAGGGTGAAGGAGCAACTTGA